AAGCGTCTGCGGGAGCAGCGGGGCTTAAAACCTGCCCTCGGTGTCCGTAGAGTATCGCTGCCCCGCAGCCTTCTCGTAAAAGCAGTAATAAATGGTAAATCCCTCGTTGTTTTCGGCAGAGCTAGCTGTTCGCGGCGATTAGGGTTTGTGTCCGGGTCGCCCCCTCTTTCAGTCCGGTCCCCCCACTGGCGCACGCACTCCTTTTGTTTCCAGAACAGCCTTACTTCAGGTGTAAGCATCACAACGAGCTCGGTTAGGTTTGTTCCTGGGCAGGCGTTATCAGCAGGGTGTAAACAGCCGTGCACGGTTGTTTGGTTTTGGGTTTGTTTTTTTTTTTTTCTAACTGCCATTGTGTTCTGTCTGCACCTTACTCAGCAATAAAAATAATGTTAAGCATGTGCTTTGCTCCTCCTCCTCCTTGGTGGCTGAACTATGTGATTGGGGTTGAACGTGACTGTATTGCCGGCAAGACAGTGCGGGTTGCACCCAGGTGCAGGGTTCAGAACACTGACTTTAGAAACAAGCCGTTATAATAGGTTGAGAAGTTTATTTGGAAAATCTTAAGGAGTCAGGCAGGCATCCTGATTTCACACATCTTTCTGTCTTGGTAGAGTTGTTCGGTGGTTTTTTTTTTTGTTGGGGGTTGTTTGGGTTTTGGGGTTTTGCTTGGGGTTTTTTTTCTCCTTTCTGTCAAGATCTTAGACTTTAAAGCAAAGGTGATTGTAGCAGCAATTTGGAAAAACCGATCAGTGATAAGTGTGTCCTGAGTATACCAGAAAGAGTTAAAAGCAAGATTGATGATTCAAGCAGCGTAAGAAGTGATAAGCAATCATTGTTTGAAAAACAGGTTGTACCTATACAGTAATATGCTAGCATGGAATTTTGCATCAGTGTCTTCCTTGCTGAAAACTTATTTCTGTTGGCCTTGGATTTAAAATGGCTAGATCTTTAGACTGTAAGATACGTAAAACAAAGTGAACTGAGCTGCCTAATTGCATTTGCCCGTTCCTATGATAAATTTGCAGAAAGGATTACTCTCTTAGTGTAAGTGGCCTTACTTTTTTTAATAAATAATTTTTAGATAACTCTGCAAACTTCTGTAGGCAAACATGCATTCTTTCAATTTTGTATTTGTTTTATTGTTAGGCATGTTAAGAGGTTGAAACCAGTTATGTTTTTAAAAAGCTATTCCAATACTTTAAATTCTGAAAGAAGATGACAAAAATTAGATGAACAAATTAATTAGAAATTAGGTGACAAAACAATCATCTAATTCTTTGAATCATATTTTTTAGTCTTGAGCTTAGATACTTTTTTCTCTTTTGAAAAAGTTCCACAAGGAAATACTTCTGAAAACTTATGATTACTCTCTCTTTTCAGTTACAGAAGCATCCGAGATGTCAGTGACAAAAGAGTTGTCTGGAAATGGCTTTTCCCATCCCCTACTTATCAAGCCACGGCACCTAGAACACATAGCATCTTATTTTCTTGGAAGACTGTAACCTGAAATTCATCATCAGTATAGCTCTAACGATGGCAGTATTGCTTCTTTTCTTCATTGGCTGTCTCTAAAAACTTGGGATAGTAGCCCACAACTTCAAGAGTGGGCTTTGATCTGTAACCAGCACATATTAGCTACCTAGAACTCATCAAAGTTAGCTCAGAGGTGCAACTTGTAAGTTGGCTGTTGATGACCTGGTCCACCTCTATCAGCCATGTCTCGGAGGTTATTTTTCCAGCTGAAAAATTCATACAGTTTTGCCAGTGGCAGCTCATTCCTGGTCTCTCTCTTTTTTTTTTTTTTTTTTGAAGTGTCAGATCTGGTGCTCGTGTCTTTGAAAAGATCAGTTTTAGTACATGTGCTGTATGTGAATCAGCTGTACTGTACGTGCACAAAAGCTCCTATAATGTGATAAGGGAGAAAATCCAGAACTTGACCCCTAATGCAGTGATAAAAGTAGCCTACCTAACTAGAAAACTTACGCACATATATTACCTTATTAGCGAAAGATGAGGCAGGATCTCTGTAAAAAAAGACTTGGAGAGCCAAGTCTATCGGTTACCTTGTGTAGTTTTTTTACGTATTAACAAGAGATGGCTTTGGAAAGACTTAAAGACATCAAACATGCTATCCCAAATTTGGCAAGTGAATAGCTTGCATGTGGTAATTGCTCATTATAACCTAGTTGTTTGGAATATCTGTTTAGCCTGAAGTTTAAAGGAGTATTGCATTTCAGACTAGCTTATTACAAATAATATTCTTGGGCTATGCTTAGCAGTTATCTCAAATACAAACATGACAGGTTTGCAGTGGATTTGCAAATCTAATTCTTGATTAGTTTTAAGTTTAATTATTCAGTTTTCACAGTTGCAAAATCCAGTTCCTTCATCTTTTTGTTAGTTGCAGATGGTTCTAAGTCACTATTCAGTTTTCTTGCTTTTCTTCTGTATCGGTGAAGTTAGTGGCTCAGTAACAGAACTCTCTCGGGTGGAAAGCTTGTCTCGGGTGGAAAGCTTGTTTCAGCACAAGAGTCACGTTTTGCAGTCTCTTAGTCATGAGCTATGAATCACAGCACATAGTTCTCAGGAAATAAGTAGAGATTTTTGCCCGGTAGTGTTTTCATCTTATGATTGCCCCCAAGTGCTACTGGGATTAAAACATGAAGTTGAAAAAAAATCGAGAGACAAATTCTGTTCATCAGTCTTTCATGACAGTATGTTCAGGTTTGTTTACATTGTTTTATGAATAACTTCAGACCTTAAGTGATAGCTTGCTTTTGTCATGTGAGTACGTAGGATTAAAGTGTTTTATAGATCGGTAAGGAGATGCTGGCTTTGAAAAAATAGTCTATGATGCATTGGATGATAAACAGTATAATTTTTTACTTGTATATCTAGCGTATTACACTTTGTTTTTATAAAAGACTTCTAAACTTTTACTCAGTTGCAGTACATAGCAGGGAGAGTTAATTGTCCAGATCCCAAATGGACCGGGCATATGATAATCTCATATGTGTAATTGTACTTGAATGTTAAACCAGAATGATTTCACTATGTATGAAGTCCATGTTTATCTTATAGAAATCATGGGGGCCGGGGGATGTTTATGTATATCAAGCCCACGCCACCCCCGGATTCTCTTAGCTTTTTAGAGACTATAGTTGAGTGTGTTGTAGTTTAGTGTGAGGTCTCATTCATAGTCCTTTAGGACATGATGTGCATTGCATTGAGGCTTTTAAAAATAAATGATTGGATGCTAAGTTCAAGTGTAAGCTGGCATGTGCAAAAGAACACACTTTGATCAAAACCCAATGCTAGATTTATTTCAGATGTATGTAGTGGTGGGGTTTTTTTCCTCTTTAATATTGTAATAAAAGGTAGAACTTGTGTAAGTGAGACCACTATGGAAGAAGTATGTGCCTCTGAGAATGAGATAGCCTTTTGCCTCAGACTTGCTGAATTTAATATGATTTTGAAGAAAGTTTGCTGACTCTTCTGTAAACTTTTTTTGCGGTTTGCAACTTCTAGATTGTTACTGGATATCTTTCATGATCCCTATTTACTAGTTAGTTGGAAAAACGAAAGCACACCAATGTTCTTGATGAAATATGTTTTTAAGGATACTGATTTAAAACAGGTGCATATTGAAGTAACCCTTTTTTTAAAGAAATAAAAAGGAAATAAGGTTCTTCCTGTCTGGGAGAAAAAATGAATTGGCCAGATACATCATCTGCAAGATGCAATGCCTGCAAACATGCATACACTCATTATTTACTTTCTTGCCCGCCTTTTGCCTTTCACAGTTTCAAATGTTGTTTCTGGTCGGTAGGACTGGGGCAGCAATATGAATGTCAGCGTTCACAAAATTGTTCAGAAGAATATCTTTCCATTGGTAGGAAAGCGGAGTGATAATCAACAAAACAGTAGAACAGTTAGGTTCAAAGTGTTCTCAAACACAAAAGTGAAACACTGAGAGTGACTGTTAGAAATGGATTGGCACTGTTAATGATTAAAGAAGTAATATTAAAGATATCTGTTTAGATGGTAATGTTATTTTTAGACTACTACTGCAAACTCATTCTTACTTGGGGTTTTTGTCCTTCATGTAAGGGTAGGGAGAACCCTGCAAAAGCATGGTTACAGAAAACAGGCTTTTTCACCTCCACAGTTTTCTATTAATATTGTTCTTTTCAGCTCTGTTACATTTACAAAATAGATAGTTTTGGGTTTTTTTAATTATTCTTATAGAATGAAACGAGGAAGAAAAACTAATGAGGCCAACAGCAGTTCATCTGAAGAGACAACTGAGAAAGAATCCAAGAGGCACAAGGTTATAGATGAGAAAACCATAGCTGTGCGGAGTCCTGACTGGGCAAACCTGCTTCAAGACATTATCCTGCAGGTGTTTCAGTACTTGCCCCTTCTGGATCGTGCTCATGCATCGCAGGTCTGCCGAAGCTGGAACCAAGTGTTTCATATGCCTGATCTCTGGAGGTGTTTTGAGTTTGAACTGAATCAACCAGCTACGTCTTACTTGAGGGCTACGCATCCTGAACTAATCAAGCAAATAATAAAGAGGCATTCCAATCACCTGCAGTACGTAAGCTTCAAGGTAGTATATTTTATAAGCTTTTAAAAAGTAATTTTATAAAAATAAAAGCATCTGTTAAACTTAGTTCTTTTTTTTCATTCAGGATATTTTAAGGAAATATCTCTGATACTGTTGAGACAGATTTGACGGTTCATCTATATAAATATGAAAGCATGAGAAGTATTTAATTAATGTCAGTAATTGAAATACTGATGATAAGTGGTAATTGACAATTGTGATCAAAACATTTTAACATGTTGAAAATTAAAGAACATCACTAAATGTTAGGAAAGGCTTATGATGTTATTTTTGTGATTTAGGATTGTCAATTATTTAAGAAGAAATATGGCAGCTCTCAGTGTGGTAGGCCTTGTTTTCAGGCCTCGTATACTGATGAAATGGGTTCTCTAAATGGGCGTATAGACATGGAGGTTACCTCCCAATTAAGTTGTTTATTTGGGTATATTTTCAGTACTAAAATGTGGAGTAACAGTTTTGAACATACCTTTTCGTTGCCTTAATTCCATTAGGTGGGGATATTTTGTTTGGTGGGTTTTTTTCTTCTTTCTTGTAGCATCTTAGCCGCTTAAAATTCTGCCTCAATGAGTGGGCAGAAATACTTCAGTTCTGATACTACTGTACGTGTGGGTACCTGCCTTAGAATTAAGTTTGATCAGGATGCATAAATTGACCGTTGCCCCATTTCACATCCTGTAGGGAGCTGGATCTAATATTCATGGGTCAAAAACATCTGATGCACAGAGAGCGACTTCAGTACTCCTAGTAAGCAACTAGGAGTTTTAGTACTAAATTGTATGGGGTTGTCCACATACGGCTGCTACTCAGCATAGCTGCGTTTCAGTTAACTGAAAAAATACATGGGATTTGCACAGGATGGTATATCTACTGATTGTCCTCGGCTGAGAAACACCATTTGGTGAGAATTGGCTTTGTTAATGTCTTGGAATTATTTTCAGCAGATCAAAACCTTTAACATTGGCCGACATATCACTGTGTTTTAGAAGGGTGCTGTGAAACAGTCATGGCTGTGTATGCATCAGCTGTGTGACAAATTTGGAAAGCAAATGACTTCTGCAGCAAGGTGGATGTACTAGTTGTTTGTTTCTGAGATCTGGCAGTTTTAATGTAGGAATCATCAGCGTGTGGGTAGCTAGGGCACCTCTGCCTGATCACGTGTATTGCTACTGCTTGATGCAATACCAGATACAAACTGTTATCACAAGGTTTGCAGGTTTTTTTTTTTATCGGTGTCCAAATAAAGAAAATTTGTAGCAGTATTGGAATGACCTTCCAGTGTCTATCTCCTGTCTACGTTGCTTTGCACCAAGTGTTTTTGAAGGATTTCAGATGCCCTTCACTGGTAGGGTGATAACCGCATCATTTCTTGAACGTGTCCCTTCAGTTGTCCTTCAGTGCTGCAGAATGAACACTAGATCACAGGAGATACTAAGTAGCAAGGATAATCACAAGGAAGTGCATGTAACACTGACTGTTACTCTGTCAAGGCTGAAAACTTCAGGGTTTTTTGTAGGCAACGAAAGATTGGATTGTTGAAAATCGAGGTTTTTCACCTTGTGTTTGAGCAGAAAATGAACATTCGTTGGACATAGATCAGTTGCTGACAAGGTAGCATGGCTTATGGTAGACTTCAAATTGATCTTGTGATCAAGTTTTTTTACTGTTCCGTAGGTTTGCAAAGCTGTCATGCCTACTGTATATATAAGAGGTGATTCGGAAAGCACATCTGAATGTTGGGGGGGATCCACTGGAGGCGCATTAAGTGATTCGGTTATGTAACAAGCTGACTAATGAAGATTTTGTTTTCAGAGTATCCATTGCATATCTGTTGTGGTATTGATGATGAAGGCCCAGTCATATAGGTTCAAATGATAACGCACTTAACTCTCCAGCAGCTCTATGTTATAAGCTGAGTCACCATAAAAGGCAACAGTTTTTTCCACACAGTAAAGGATTTATAGAATGCCCGCATTTTGATAAGGAAGAATGTAAAGAGGAAGTGGGGTAGGCTCTGGACCCAAATGAACCTCTGCTTGCTTATTATCTGATGTGGATTGAATATCTTGGAACAAACTGTTTAGCTGACCCCTCACCATGCTAAATTTTACCAAAGTATTTAGGAGAGTGGTAAATTTATAGCAAATTATCTTGGATTTTTGGTATGTACTTTTTGGGGAAAAAAGAATGACATTGATGGATTCCCAATGAGGTGTCTTGTGGGGTTTTTTTGACATCATATTTCAGAAGGTAAAGTGAAAAAAAATGTTAAAGTACATCTACTCTACTCTGCTTTTTTGTAAAGAGTGTGTTTGGTGCAGTGTTTTCTGAACAATAAATGTGTTTTGTTTTAAGGTGGACAGTAGCAAGGAATCTGCAGAAGCAGCTTGTGATATTTTATCACAGCTTGTGAATTGCTCTCTGAAAACACTTGGGCTAATTTCAACTGCCCGGCCAAGCTTCATGGATTTACCAAAGGTATTTTAATACGTATATTTTTCTGTAGCAAAGTATTGCAGTGGTTCATACAGTATTTCTATAACTTTATGAAAAGTTTTATTGTAAAAAATATAAATCTTTGGTAAAGAAAACTCCATTACTGGGCTGTATTAAAGGGAGGAATTAAGATGGGTAACTGTTTCGCTTACTCTCTGCATTGTGTGAGAACTTAGTCCTGACCTTGTTCTTCCAAGTCCTCCTGTCTATTGACCTTAGTGTAATACTGGGCAATATGTTGCAAGTCAGGAGGCTAGACGATTCCTGTCTGTGTAGTTGTACTGTGAGACTGTAGGGGACGTTTAGGAGACGATTATAATCGAATAAGTGGTAGAGTTTTATCTGTGTGGACTTGCTGTAGGGATTATATTATCACTGAGCTCTCTTTAGAAAGCAATATGATCATGATTTCCAATACCTCGTGTCATGCAGTCAAGTGTTGGATTCTTGGGCAAAGTGCACTGTATTTCTGAAATTTTCTGTCAGATTTTTACCTTGCAAGTTTACCAAAAATTAGATTTTCGTAGAAGACATGTAATCTAGAAGACGACAAATCTCTTATCACAGAATAGTTTGGGTTGGAAGGGACCTCTAAAGTCCCTCATCTAGTCCAACCCCCCTGCCGTGGGCAGGGACATCTTCAACTAGATCAGGTTGCTCAGAGCCCCGTCCAACCTGACCTTCAATGTTTCCAGGGATGGGGCATCCACCACCTCTCTGGACAACCTGTGCCAGTGTTTCACCACCTGCAGCGTAAAAAATCTCTTCCTTATATCTAGTCTATATCTACCCCCCTTTAGTTTAAAGCCATTCCCCCTTGTCCTGTTGCAACAGGCCCCTGCTAAAAAGTTTGCCACCATCTTTTTTATAAGCCCCCTTTAACTACTGATAGGCTGCAATGAGGTCTCCCCAG